GCCATGGTGTGCAAACGACTCATGCCACTCTTCGGAGAAGAGCCTCCAATTAGGAGCTCTGGAGTCTAGACGGTATTTGGCCTACTCTTACACGCTGGCCAGAGGTAGAAGTACCCACACTTTGCCCCCCTGCATGTGAACTGTGCATCGACTAATGATGGTGTACCCATTTATCCTGCTGCGGTGAACAGCGGTGGGAGGGATTTAGGAAACCTGCTCCCTCGTTTCTGCTGCTGCTGTGCCAGGAAATCGAACCAGCAACTTCTGGATTACAAGTCCACTGTTTACACCACGGGCAGCACTTCCTCCACGTGTATTCGATATTGATTCAAGCGATTCCGAAATTCTTTCAAATATTATATTGTTTTTTCAAGATGTCAAAAGTGTGCTGATGAGCCCATCGTTTTGAATCGTTCAACATGGGTAGAATTTCCCCCCTTAAAACGTTAGCAGCAATTTCCCAACGTTGCTCTGTTTAATTTTCCATTCATAGGCTTCATTCGCGATGGCATTCACCGGCCAAGGCATAGCTACCTGCCAGTCAGCTGACCCAGCAGCCTTCAGCCAGACATGTCTGCCCGTAGAGGGACTTTCCATTGATTTTCGGAGATTCTCCATGAAAATTGAAAAATTCATACCCCCAAGAAGTGAAGTACATTACATTATCATGGCAATTCACAGTGGCCTCATTCAATATAAAACAAATGACGCTTTGGAGAAAAGTCCTCTTTGACCTTTCCTCAGGAGATAATGTAAAAGTCAGCACTCATCACATCACTCCCACCGGATGAGTCAGCAGATACGAACACTTTCAATACATTCTCCTAACGAACATAATGCAGCGGTTCAACATTCATCATCGCGCGCAAACTAAGCGCCAACAGTTAACCCGCATTCACGAAGGTGAAGCCATCGATGTTCCGATGATTACATGTACACGCATTTCCCCCCTTCCTCCCCACCGCGGCTAACCATATTTGCAGATTCGTTTAGGAAGAATGCAGCACGGCAAAAAAAAATTAAGGTAATTGCATTTTCCGTTACTTTAGCGTTTCGACTCGTATTCAACTCGCATTGCCAGGCATTAGCACTCGAGGTGGCGTAGCTGCGACCGAATTAATCTGAGTGCCGGTAACGCTCACTCGAGTGTCCCTGCCTGCCGCAGTTTCACTTGAATTTGCTTCATGCTAAGCGAGCCGCGCTCCTGTTTTTACGCTCGTCGCCTTCCCGTTGCCGTGACTTTATAAAAATCGCAGAATGTGCGATTCCAACGGCGATTTGGTGAGAGGACCCGTGGTCGCACGGCTCCTAACGGCGAAGGGTTTTAAGCAGGATTCTCAGAAAACAACAAACCCCGGTTCAGCCTTCTCCAATCATCTCCTTTTGCGTGGTATTGTAAAAGCAACTTGCGCGACATTTATAGCCTCGCAATCCATTCGTCGGCATCGGGCGTCACTTGATGTGCAGTATCCGTGGACTCCGGATAATGAGCAGTGGTCTGTTGCGTGACGATCGGATCGCACTTCGACCGCGTTCGCGACGAGGGGAGGGGGGCGTGGTGGGTGCGCATCTTTCATTCTCCGTTTTGTGAAAGAGGAGGTGGCCACACACTGGCCGTGCACCGTTTTAAATCTGGTATGTGTCCGTGCAAATGTGTTTTTTTGTTTTAAAGCAACCAGACCACATGAGAACTGCGGGGAAACTCTACAAATTCATCAAGAACTCTGCCTTAAAGAACAAATATAACTAATCAGCGACATGCTATGCTATGGCCCTACTTCATAGCACAAAGGCTGTGTTAATGATAGACATGTTGAGCTTGTTTGGTGTGTGTTAATTATGCTTGTGGGAAACTGATGGCCTGGTGAATATAAATAGGTCACTATTCCACGAAGGTCACAATTTCAGATCCACCCTCTCCCAGATTGCAGCAGATTTGTTGAGTACATCGTATCACACTGTGTGTTGTCATGCAAAAGGCATAATAATAATTTATCCATGACACTTGCGTTCAATGCCGTTCCCTTGAGAGGCATGTCAACAACAGGTCTCTACTGTCTATGGTATAAAGGTCACCGTTTTAATGTCCCCTGTGCAGGCCGGCATATGCAGGCGGTCCCTGACAGCCGCACGACGCTAGAACATGAGATTGGCTTTCAAAATAGAGCATCCTAGTGAAAGCACTGACTCTAAGTGAACCTGACAGTCCAAAGTTACCAGGGCTATGACCACAATACCTCCATCATCCCTTCCTCCTGGCAGCCGAGACCCAAATTGTCATGCTGAGTGCTCACGTGCTAACCAACTGGGCATTAGCGTCTCTCGTCTTGCATGACAGTCAGAGACAACAGCCTGCATCACCCAGCAGCCTTTCACGGTTAAAGGGGGGCCCCAAGCAGCCACTACTTTCATGGGCGCTGCCAAATTGCCCCAGAAAGTCCTTCTGGAAAATGAGAGGCAAGAGTAGAGGCCGGCTATAAGGTCAAACCCTTGGCATAAAGGCCAGGTGTGTTTGTATCCATAGCAGTGTGCTTGCATCCAGCGCTGCCCCGAGCCTTCCCACCCCTGCCAACCTCTCACCAGTGTAATGCCGGCATGTGTTGCTTATATCAGAATGTGCTTAAGTAGGTAAATGCACAGCCCTGGAATCGCCAGCTCACACCACTGCTGGCGGAAGCACCTCCACTATGGGGGGGGGGGGGGGGGGTGGGAGCGGCTCTCCAAGGACTTCTTCTCGAGGGCATTGCCACACTGAGAGATAGAATTGAACCAGCGACCTCGGTACGACAAGCCTGGTGTGCTGCTAATAATGTGGAGGGGGGGGGGTCTGACTGCAACTAAAGTTTTGTTTCAGATCTATATTTTTAAAGCCATCCGTTTACCTTTCCCATACGTTGCACTCCAATCTTTGCTTTTTGCATTTTAAGTTGTTGAAACGTTCTTGACACCGTGCCCCTTCTGGGCATATGTGACAAAAGCAGCTTCGCAGCTCATCAGATTCCCCTCCGGTATAAATAAATATTCTGACTCGGCACTTTACGTTCACCGTGTGGTCCACGTTTAGGGTCAGGAGCTGCCGTTGCCGAGATGTGCGTGGCATGTGACCTTGTGTGGCGAGAAAGCCCGGAGACCCGGCGAACATCGCCGAAAGTGAAATGATAATCGAGGAGCGAGATCGCATTTCGTGGCGGTCAGGTGACGCTTGAAGCCTCGCGATACCCGCGGGGAAAGCTGACCGATTGATTGTTACGTTGCTCGAGTGAGAATTTAACCCGTTGCTTCGATTCAGAATGAAGGTAGCGATGAAGAGCGTGGAAAACAATGTCATACGTGCTTTTTTTACGTAAATATGTAATGCGATTTAATGTGTGTACGTACAAATGTTGTTTAACCGTGTAAGTTTTTTTTGCAGGTTGGCAACCATGTGTGACAACATGCGGCACAACCGGAGAGAAATTGGAGAGAGAGAGAGAGGCCTCGTCTTTACTCTCATTTCACGTAGTGATGCTAAGCATGTAGACACAACAGCATTGTGTGTTTACGTTGCTCAGATGTGCACAAGCCGCCTTCACAAACGCGATTCACATACGGGCAGTCGTACGTTACTCAGACTGTACTGACAAACCAGATGAGTCGATTACACAATCGGCCGCTCGATATTGGAAAAATCCAGTTGCTAAGGCGTTAATAAAATACATTTTGTTTAGACTGGCATAACACTTGTCACTATTGATTAACAATTCACACGATGCTGCAGGCATTTTTTCTTACAAAGGAAAAGCAGCTGATTAACAGCCCACATTGAAGTTTATAAAAATACAATTAAAACTGCCCTTGAGGGCACGTAATTGCATTGCAGTTCCGAACAAATAATGCGGACCGCTAAAGAAAAAAAAGCCGTATATTTAATTAAATAAACCCAATTCTAATGTTATAAATCTAATGTGTAGATAATATAGCACGATTTACAATATACATTTATATCTGTAAACATGTATATTACTTGATAATTACGGTGTGCTTATACACAGGTGTGTATTAGTATTCACATAGTTACACCTGTACATATAGTATACAAAGACACAGCCTTTATAGACCCCATATCACCATATAAGACAAAGACCCCCCCCCCCCCCCCCCGTATATCCTTAACAGACTGTTGGGGCAAGTGCTGTTAGCGAACATCTATTATTCTCAAGGCCTGCCTGGTACACGAGGCGTGGTCTGGACAACAACATGCTCAGCCACCTCTGTCTCTCCGGTGTTGATGTTTACACAAATACAATGTTTACACCAGGTGCAATGCAGCAAACATACGTACGTACACACGTACGTACACACGTACCTTTGTTGATGTTTACACAAATACAATGTTTACACCAGGTGCAAAGAAGCAAACATACGTACGTACACACGTACCTTTGTTCAGAATTGAGCAATGTGACAAGAACTCGGGGAGTGAAGACGATAGATCGGGGATCAGTGTGCGGGAGGAAGCAAAGAGAGAAGTGTTTTTGAGCTACAGTCTGGTGGTCGAACGCAATAGGGATGGATCGAAACAGTCAGCCTGGTAGACTCACCGCTCAACATTGGTGGAAAGACTTCGGGGAAACGGCAGACTTCGGCTCACATTCGAAGGACACAAAACTGATTCGAATACATATTTGAGAGACGTTTTGCGCAGATGTGGAGGATGCGGTTGGCGGACGCTGTGGCCGATCGTAAGAGGGCCTGCACGCACCACCATCAACGGCCTCCCGCGGGACTCGAGCCGGTCGGCGTGGACGCTTGCTGCTACGGTATGTAAGTAGATTTCTACCGCACCGTATGTAGCCAACCATGCTAATCGGAGGGCGATGTCAAGCACCACGGCCTTGGACTGTGTTTAGTGTGGCCGCGCGCTCAGGACACTGTCACCTGGCGGCATCTCGTGAGGACTGCTACGCTCCAGCCAGGGGCAAGCGAATGATGATGACGATGATGACGGTGGTGTTACTCACCGTCTGTTGAAAGGGTTATCTCCCGGCACCACGTGGGCTCGGTCCCTGCCGACCAGGAAATGCGTGCTCTGGAAGAAGGTCGGGAAGGCCTGCGGGTTGGCCCTCTGGCTCGGCGGCTGCAGGGTGTGCGGTAGCAGCTCCTCGGGGTCAGGCGAGCCCTGGCACAGACCGTCCGCTCGGCACACGTGCTGCAGGCAGCAGTCCGGGTCCACGCAGTCGCTCAGGCCGTCTGTGGGGGGGGGGGGGGGGGGGGGGTGACAGTCACGAGCGCGTGCGTGCGTAGGTGTAAGCCGTGACCCCGTGATATCACCGGGAATTAGGAATGTTTTCCACGATGATAAGATTATTCTGACAAAATCAGACCCAGATATACGAAATTTCGGTTAATCCAAAATTATGTTTCAGATTGATCGGAAAGCATGATGTCACAAATATTGCACTGCTTTTCGTTCTTTTCCCATCTTCTTCGTACAGCTGCTGACGTAGCTGTAGAGCATCAACTACAATTTCAAATTCAGGTGATTAAGCCAGACAACTGCGTGAAGAGCAGCAGAGTGTATCGCTGATGTCTCCTTCAAGCATTTCCCATGAGAAAGAATCACGTGGCATTAGGTCATGCAACTTTTGTAAGCACGACGACACGTTAAATTATTATGTAGTGTAAATTATCCGAAAATAGATTCAAAGTTATCGTTAATAAAATCAACATCGGATTTTTTTCTCTCCGAAAACTCGATCGTGCCTAGAATGCACTCTGAACGCAAGATCAAGATGATGATACATCTCAGCTCTACACACAGTAAATAAAATATAACGAAACTGAAATTTGCTCGCGTAGAGGCGCGAGGAGACGCGTTACACATCGCAGGATCGGATCGTGAGAGGTGGTGGCATCCGCGGTGGCTTGAGGAGGCCATGATCCAGTAGTGGATCAACCGAGACAGATGATGACAATGACGAAAAGAGAACAACTTTAGCATTGTCACCGAACCAAACCAAACATTCTACCGCAACAACTCGTGACCCGGGACAAGGCGCACAGCGTGCGGCACCCTGGCAGCGGTGTCAGAGAACCGAACATCTCTCCCCCACCTCCCCGCACGCTCCATCCACACCATCAATTAGCCGTGATCAAGAGCACAGCAAGCCTGGCAAAAAAAAAAAAATGAATCGTAGGTGGACGTGGGGGCGGGCGTGGAGGCAGCGGAGGTGGCGTGGGGGCGGTCGTAGTTTGCGCGATGTCAATAGGCCCCCCCCCCCCCCCCCCCATTAATCAGGGGCCTTTAAAGGCTCGCGCGCAACGCTTAGCCGGTAGCCCGTGCATGCCCCCCGCCACTGCTCGATAAAGCCGGCAAAGCGGCACGTGCAAGCGGACTGCTGTGGGCGGTGGGCGTCTGTGTACATGTGCGCAAGAGGCTACGCCCCTGGAAATGCGCGCTTTAATGCCTCTGTCAATCGATGCGTCAATTTTAAGCGAAGGTTTTATTGATGCTCCACGTTGTGGTAGCGTAACATCCCCCCCGACGCATTCCGCTTGTTGTATCCAAACACGTGAAATGTCATCGTAGGTTGGCACGGACTTCGAATGGAATAGCTCGACGCGTAGTTTTGCCATTAGGGTGGCAGGGAGGCGCCCGTGGTTAAATATGTGACTCACATAAACTAAGCGCCTGAATTGGATTCCTGACTGTGGTGCCTTTCTATGTTGATTTGTGTTTGGTATCTCTCCTGTTCTGTGTGGGTTTTCTCCCACTGGCACTTTTTATGCCTAACCTTGCCCCTTTTTTGATTCCTTACTTAGCTCAAAACTTTTAAAAGATACACTTTATATTTGAAATTATATAATTTCTTACCTTTGTTCATTTATTCATTTATTTTCTCAGATGTGTCATGTGTGTCACGGAAACAGTTTGGTTTTTATTTATGAAACCCGGACTTAATAAATTCTTAGCTCACAGGGTACTTCAAAATAACCTGAACTGCCACTGAACTATAACTAAACCATACCAGGGTACCTGGGTGTTGACAAAACGTCCCCATGCAGGACCCTGCTGTAAAAAAAAGTCTTTGGGCTCGGTGTCGCTTTTCAGGGCCCAATAAGTACTTATTATCTCACCATTTAGGTAAAGTGTTGCTGTAAAATAGAAAAAGTGGGTGTACTTTTAAAGAGGCGAGAGGCAAACGACGCACATTTTTAAACCGATTTTAAACACGCGGGCTCAATGGGTTCCTACGCGGTGGCACTTTGGCGTACGCCGAGATATACTTCACGTTTATGTTCACCGAAAAGATAAAAATTCCGTCAAAGATGACACAGAACGTTCGCAAAATGCACGAGGCTCGAGGTAATTGCAATGCCAGGAATTGCAAATTTACGAGCAATTTAAACTTTAATTGTAATAATTTGTTTCCTATATTGGATAATTGGTCACGGTAATTACATTTTCAACTCTTTTTAAAAGCAAGCGTGAAAGTTATTGAGAAGGTTGAAATGTAACTTTAATCATTTATTTTTTATGTATTCAATTCTAAGGTTTATATCATTCTGGGTAAAAAAAAATGCCGGGGTTCACATGAAAATGTCACGACTCCAACCTCAGATATTCACAATTTACAAAGGGTAGGCTTGCTGCTCCAAGGTCAAACTCAATATATATCTTCGAAATGAAAAAGACATTACACTAAGCATTGCTTTACAACAAAGCTAAAATATGGAACAAAAATTCCACTTTTAAACGCTTTCCTATTTCATTATTTGCATCGAAAAATAATGTGCAGCACACAAACGAAAGTCAGGCAGATGTAACAAATTGTTTTTTTTAGCCCCAGGGAGGTCTTCGGGATAAACAAACAAAAGTCCTTATTACAGATAACAAACTCAGACTTGCTGTTAGTTTGAGTCCTGCTGTAATATTTATTAAAGATAGGCCAAAATTGGCCCATAATTGTTTGTATTCTTAACGTTATTATTTTTTTTGCATCAGCCACGCGTTTTCAACCACCAAATTACCTCCATGAGGTTCCCATGGACTCCAGCACGAACATGCGCATGGTACAAACTGCGCTGCTATGAGCTGCTTAAGTGCCACCGTTAACAAAACCAGACACTAAAAAGTTAAAACGGTAAAAGTGCAGCCCTGCAACTGCACGCTCACGCACACTGCTGGTGGTGTGACCTCTGTCCAGATTGTATTTTGGCCTACTCTTCCACGCTGGCCAGGTGTTCCTGGAAGAGTAGGCGGGATCTCCCACTTCACCGGACCACAAGTGAGCCCGCTGATCGACTAACAGTGCTGTGCCCATTTATACTGTTGGGTGGACAGAGGTGGGGGGGATGAAATAAAATTGCACCATTGTTTCCACACTTTGAGATAAAACTGGTGACCTCCTGCATCGCAAGTCCAGTGTGCTAAGTATTACATAATGTCAGTATTCCTGATTAGGGGTCAAACTATACATAGCTGCCTGTCGGTGGAGCATCAGTTGGTCACTGCTCTACGAACCTGACGACCCAAGTGCAATGACCAATAACAGCGGTGAACATTTAAATGTGGTCCTGGGCATCCCCTAGGTCGACTCAGCCTTAAATTAGTACCTGGTGCAGTGTGTAAACATCAACACTCGGGTGACAAAGTCGGCCAGGCGTGGTTTTGGCCACCCAGCCCCTCGTGTGCCATGTCGGCCTTCATAGATGCTCACGAAGAGCACTTCTTGTCTCAACAGTCTTCAAAAGGCTACATGGAGAGCTTTCTCTTTGTATAAAAATTCTGTATTCAATGGTTTTAAAAGCAATTGGCTAAATTCGTTATTGTAGCGTGACGTCGCCTACATCATCTTTTCATTGAAAATGTATGTGCAGGTAATCGTTGATCATTCGGCACGTTTATTTTATTGGGAGATGCACATTCACAGTATGGAGTTTTGCCTCTTAATTTACCTTATAACTCTAAGAATATATTTTTTAATGACTCCTCATTACAATCCTTAGGTAACATCACTGCACAGCATGGACGGCTGCAATGCCCGACATTCCCTTCATCAGACAAATACACCACCAACGTAATTGCCTTACTTATCCCTAAAAAACTATTTAAATAAAATGATCATCTTAGCTTTTGGGCTACAATTAACCCACCACTGAGGGCTGTAATTGCTCTTTGGAGTTCAAGGTCTAGCCGATTGTTGCGTAATTATTGTTTGTTTACTTTTACAAAATTGGTGTCAACATGAGACGGCAAAAGCTGCCAAAACACTTCCCATCACGGGGTGGGGGGGGGGTGGCGGCGGCAGCGGCTGCTACGGGCGATTCGGCCGGAGATACGTTGGGAGCACGAGCCTCTTGGCCAAAGGTCGTGGGAGGGGGCGCTGCAGCTGTCCCACCATCAGCCATGGGCAATCCACTGCTGGCTTCGAGCCGTCACGACGCCCAGCACCTGCACACGAACTGACTTCATCGCTCCATCTCCTTGGACGATGGCCTCCCGGACGCGTTCCTTTCTTTGCCGCCGCTGTGTGTATTTGTATCGATCGTCGGGCCATCGTTCCCCCCGATAGCTGTGACGCGTTCTGCACAGGCACATTTACTTTTCTTCACGGTTCGAATTGTGTCTCTAGACCTGCGTAATATGCTCGAATCCACGCGTTCCCCTTCCTATCTTCTCAGTGCAATTCCAAGCATGCGTCTGTCCACGCTTTGTTTGCGCACATTTTGTTCCAATTTGTTTTTGTTCTTGATCATGCTTCTGAGCCACATGCCAAAAGCAGGGAGCACTCACTGATTAAACATTTGATTCTTCAGGCACATTGGTATGATGCTTTTCAAATTAAAAAACCACTCCAACTTGCCACCATCCCACCCCTTTAATATGAGACCTTTCAGTTAAAAAAACAATGCATATATTTTCAGAGCATGGTTTTTTGTCTGCATGTTCACCACAAGTACGTGCGGTTAATGCAGACAGGATGCCTCGCAAAAGGTTTCTGTTTGGTGGTTTAACATCTTAACACCTGTCCTATTGCCAGAAATAGTAAAACCTATCATACCCCTTTATTTAATCACTTTCATTCCGATCGACACCTTCAATCGCCATCCGAGGTACAGATTTCCTGCTGCGTTTTCCCTCCGCGTCTCCTCTTGCTTCACGTCTCACCTACCCCAAAGCACTCTCCCTTCCTCACGGTCGCTCGGCCACAAGGCCACGTGCGTTGGGTCGTGCGCCGGCACCGCTG